GAGCATTACTTGGGACCACTTGGAACACACACAAACACAAAAGCCTGAATGAGCCTTCAGTAGGAACTACTCCCTGCAGGCTTTGCAAGCAGCCTCAACAGGTAGAAACTAGGAACGTATTGACAGGGCTGCTTTTAAGAACTCGACATTGTCACTGACTGTGCTAAATGCTTAATATGTTAACATTATGATATTTCAAAATAAAATTTTTACGTTATCTACCTCTGTGTTTATGTTTTGCTCTTCCCACTTCCCACACGCACCAAGTGTTCTTCCCCTTTAGCACGGAACACTCACCTGTCTGTCCATAGGCAAAAATACAAGCGTTATATCCCTGAAAGGCCTTTTCAAGAATTCCTTCTCCAAGGCACTTGAACACCACTTCTTGACCTAGAAAATAATTTTATTTTAAATTGAACAACAGACTGAACTTTATTAAAAACAAGACTAAAAAAAGGTTTGCAAATTATTTTTTACAGCTGAGAGCACTGATGAAGGAACAAATGATTTCACATTCAATTGAGCAACAAGTTCAAAACTGTCACCTGAACGTGGTGTAACAGCTGTCTCTGTGTTTAAATATATTGCTGATTTTCCTGTGAAGGGAGCAGTTCTTCAAAAGGTATCATATAAATTGAATGCTTAAGAAATAACATAGATGTTTAACTTTTTTATTATTCAAGTGCAATTTTTTGCAAGTAGTATGCATTATTTAATCACAAACTATACCCAAAAGAGTTCTCTAACAGAATTGCAATGAAACCCATTAGTCAAGTGGGACATTAGAGGCACAACAGATATCATGCTAGGAATATTAGAAGTTGTTCTCTTGGGAACTGGCCTCAAGTTTCACCATAAGCTATTATGATTCCCCCTGTGGCAAGGTGATGCTGGAACCAAGATAAAAGCATTCCAATGACATTCAGGGAGGAAATGCATATTAGAAGGCTGTGAGACTTCATCAGAGCTGTTTGAGGATATGTTCTGCCGAATCTATAGTTTGAAATGTCAGCTTCAGAATTTCATAGTCTGCAAACTGTCTCCCTGTGCCAGGCAGATTTTAGATGTGCTTCAATCTTTTAGATGCAGAAGATGAAACTAGGCATAGTGGTTGGTTTGGGTTGTTTGGGATTTTTAAATAGGAAAGCCCAGAATTTGTACACTACGAAGAGGGTCAATGGGATGTCTGCTTTGAGCTCAATAGGAAAGCCCAGAATTTGTACACTACAAAGAGGGTCAATGGGATATCTGCTTTGAGCTCTGATCAGAGAATTACACCAGCTCTGTGTACACCCAAAACAAGCAGAGCTGAGCTAAAACCAGTATTTGTTCACCTTCTGGTGTTTGGTTTTAAACCTATATTCATTGCCTAGTGACTTTTTGAACAGCTATGATCAGCTGCATCTCTCATTTTGGTATGAGAGTTTCAGCAGCTGCCAGGTACAAGAAATTCTTTCTTACAGTGGATGCAGTAGTGACTTCCCTAGTTCTCAAAATAGAATATACTGACATTAAAAAAATAATCTACCAAATAATCTAGCTATACAATTATACATTTCATAAGAGTATCTACACTTCATGATCCTTGAGTAATTGGCAGTCCAGAAAATTCCTGCAGAACAACCCATGGAATGATCGTGGAATGATTTAGAGACACATAAATAGGACAAGAAAAGTGTATTACTTTTATTTTCCTTTAACTATAACCTAATTTCTATTCTGCTGTAAAGAAAAATACTACCACATAAATAGGACAAGAAAAGTGTATTACTTTTATTCTCCTTTAACTATAACCTAATTTCTGTTCTGCTGTAAAGAAAAATACTAGGGCATCTTTTCAGCTGAATTTCTAAAATTCCAAAGTGTGGATTAACACAGTTCAGAAATGCTGAATACAGGAATTAAAACCAGAGGAGAATCTGCCATACTCAGGAATAACTTCGTCTCCTTCGGACAAGAAAAGTGTATTACTTTTATTCTCCTTTAACTATAACCTAATTTCTGTTCTGCTGTAAAGAAAAATACTAGGGCATCTTTTCAGCTGAATTTCTAAAATTCCAAAGTGTGGATTAACACAGTTCAGAAATGCTGAATACAGGAATTAAAACCAGAGGAGAATCTGCCATACTCAGGAATAACTTCGTCTCCTTCCCCATGCACATTCAGTCACTTCTCATTTAATGAGGGATCATTTGGTCATTTCATAATACCTATGCTGAGAGAGCACTGTTCAACAGCCGGACAACAGCTACAGAGAATGTTAAACTGATGAATGAATGAAAAAATATATCAGCAGAAGAATTTAGCAAAAATATACAATACACAAAAATTTGCTTTTTAACCAGGTCCTGAGGGCCCATTTTGAAGCTACCAAACATGAGAGTCAGGGAGCCACTCGCTATCTTGCTGAGCAAGAACACAAAATCAAGAGTTTGAAGGTGAGTATAATTATTATGAGGAAGAGAAAAGGGATATATGTTACACAATCATTGTGAGTGGAGAATAAAACCATTTGTCAGAAGCTGAAAGAACTTCTCACCACTTCTGACAGGCAATAAATCAATAACCTCCATCCTGTTTCTTAAGAAAAAAACAGCAGATACCAAAATGTTATAAAACTGTGTGTGGTCATAATAACCATGAGATGACCTACAGAATCCCTTACTGCTAAATACCAGGGAAGAAACCCAGTTTGAATCTCAGAGGCAAAACTGGATTTAATTTTCAAATGAAATTTCATTTTCAAACTGTCAACACAAACTGAAAGCTAATCAGACACTGTTATATACCAACATAGACAAATGGGTCATGAAAGAGTATTTTTTATAGTAACCAGTCAAATTATCATGGTATAAAAAGATTTGTTTTGAAGTGCACTCAGAAAAGAACACAA